GTATTCTAAGTCCTGGATCAGCAATAATTTGACTTGGATGAAATCCTAGTATAGGCATTCTTTGTTGGTTTGTACTCTCATCAAATGTGGTATCATTTCTCTCATTGCTTGGAGTTGAGGGATCAGGTCTCTCATTAGTTGAAGTAGGAACTATGGTCACTACAGCCAGGGAAAGGGGATCTGGGTTCACATTCGCTAGGATCAGTGGACTGGCTGGGATAGGATTAGGTTCGGCACGAGGAGTACTTGAACTACTTCAAAAAAACTGTTTATGCTCGTATTTTTTCTCTTCATCTCTGCAAATCTGCAAATAATTTGCATAGGAATAGGACTTAAATTAATTAAGATAACATGAACTAACAAGTAGCAACTACAAATGTACCGAAATTATTGATTCAAATTACCCAGCCGGCCAGCAGTGAGCACACGTCAACGCCTCAACTCCTTCAGCAGCAGGCAGTAGCAACAGCAGCAGTGCGCCTCCGATTCTCCGACTTAAAGGCTTGGCTGGCACCTGGCAGCCCGGCACCGAGCAGCAGCCGGCCGCCGGCGGTCGATGGCCAGCTAGGGTTGGCCGCGGCCAGTTGGCGCCTTGGCTCGTCGCCGTCGTCGGAGAGGCGCGCGCGCTTAGCTGCTGGCGCGGTGCTCCGGCAGTCCGACGCCCCGGCCGGTTGAATGGTCCGCCCCAACGCCGACGAACGCTTGGTCTGGGGCCCGGATGCGCGTGTCGGCGTGTGGATTGTGCGGCGTGCGTGGAGGCTGGAACCCTCGATGCGTGCTTAGTTGCTCTGGTGTGGCCGTGTGGGCTGTTCTGCTGGTGCCTCTGTCGGGCTAATGGGCTGACCTGAAAAGAAGAGTAGTATTAAAAAAATAATACATTTTTTTGGAGGGTAGGCTAGAGCCCTATGAAGCCCACCTACTTGACTCGCCACAGCATAGTACCCCTATATCGCATGCATGCTACTGTACTTACTAACTAGCTACTCCATTTATCTTTATCTTTATCTTTACCTAATATTAAAGGATGGAGACTTTCACACCTACTTGACTCACCACTGCATAATACCCCTATATCGCATGCACAAGTAGAGGCAGTAATGAGTAGAGGGATAAATATATACCCTAGGTATTTTAGGGGACCAACTAATAGGTTTCTGAGTTCAGCATTTTCTAAAGCTCTCTTTGCATTGGATGAAGGAGGGAATTTTTAATGTATAAGGCATACAAACTTGACCTAAATAAGTGATCTTGTAATTCTAGAAAAGTTTCCAGATAAATTAAATCACGTGTATGGCCAAAATATTGTCTCTATGGCTGAGATATTATAACTTAAAAAACATGATAAATTAAACTACATGTATGACCAAATTATTGCTTCAGGTACTGTACAAAAGTTTCCTACAAAAAAGGTATTGTACAAGGTGAACTTCACGTGCGTGTACATAAGGATCGACCAGGACAACACTTGATATTACAACAGAACCTTGCAATACAACCACTGACATTATCATAGTTCTCAATGCACGCCTGCGGTTACATAACTAACAAAGGAACTACATATATAACTTACCAAATAGCTGACAGCCAAGTTCACTAACCAGACATACATAGCACTTACGTTAACATAACAAGGACATGCCCAAGTTCAGAACTCACCACTGCCATCAACCATGACCAGAGCAGGGGTGAATGTGAGCCTACACGTAATTAAGTCCTTAATAACATGGCTGTGCTTCTTCGACACCGACAAAATCAGCCACTGGTCATGCACTGGGCACACGACTTTGATAGGCAGCACAGATGGTGGGACGCCGCACTGCTTCTCGGTGGCACCCAGAAGTGCGCCAGCGTTTGCCATCTCCGACCGCCGTCGCCAACACAGCAGCGCATGCCCATGGTAGTGCGCCACGAGCGCATCCATTGGCGGGCGTGCACGCTAGGAGCACCTCCGGACATAGACAGGGCTCGCCCCTCCGCCATGCCTCCTGCGGAGAGCACATGGAGATCAAGCTACGACTAACACCATCGGCTGCGAGCAAAGGGGTGTAGCCGACGACAGCGGCACCGTCAATGTAGAACTCGCTATTAGTCACTCTGAGCTGCCCATGGTGAGATCGGAATGGGGCAAAATCTAAGGTGAGGGATTGGTAATTTATATACTGTTTAACTAATTAGTTGACGACCTAGGGGCACGCGCAGGCCCTGTTAAATAGAAAAAGTCCCTAGCAAACCAAACAGGGTGAGACTTTTCTGGGACTTTTTGCTAAAAGTCCTTAGAAGCACCTCCTGGAGAGTCTTTTTCAAAAAGTCCCGGGGACTAGAAAAAGTCATAGGACTAGAGAACCAAACACCACCTAAATGGCCTTGTATACATAGACGGAAGGAGTACTAATTGGCGCATAACACACTAGACTGCAGTGAACATATGTACATTACGTGGCATCTGCTTTTTTTCTCAGCAATTTTTATCTAGGTTTCATTCCATGTCCAAAATGAGTTTGCTAAAGTTACTTTGGTCATCTCCCTGTGACCTTGCGTGAATGCAGATCAACCTAGACCTCATTCCCCATCATCGACCAATAGGAATGGGCAGTCATCAGCAAGCAACAGTCAAAGGGGGCATGATAAGGAGTCTCATGGTGCCGGAAAACCGAAGTCTGCAGGAACAAATAACAAGTGAACTATATAGTTTCATACTCATGGATGGTAACAATTTATTGTTCTACTTAAGTACATACTGTGCACCTCAAACACTTTGTCTTATTCAAACCATTCTTGTTTTTTTCTCAGCCAAGCTACGATGTGTGTAGCAGTTCAACTAGGCGAAGCATCGAAAAGATCACAGCCGTCCGATGTTCGATCGACATACTCTGTCTTTAAAACAATGAATACTATATGTGTATTGTACTCTCTGATATGTTGATTTTAATTAAGTCGCTACATAGGGAACTAAGAGGAATATATGAATCAGTTACATGTAGCGGTTTGTAATTGCCTCTCGACGAATTTGCACGCTGCACCTAGTCCATATGTATCTTGTGTTGTATTGACTTCACATACATTGTATTTCGGATTTGGGGTTGTACTAATAAGTATTTGAGTGTGTGCAACACACAAAAAGTATTCATTTATCTCAAAATATTTTACATGGATGTTAAGGAACGAAAGGTGCTCTACCATATGTTGTTGCTCCAAATACTTGGGCGCAGAGCACAGCAAGGCTAGCTAGAACACACGAGCGCTTGCAGCACACGTCACACCTGCAAGGACGATGAAAGGCTCCTGCCCTGGCCCTGTACCTCACATCTAACACGACCTCATGAACGCGCACGGCAGAGCGGGCGCCAGCCCAACTGTAGGTAAGTTTGATTCTCCGGTCTAGGTGGTCGGGTAGGACCAGGCCCGTCTTCTGAAATTTGCAGTCCAGGGCAAAATGAAATATTAGGCCCTATATTGTACAAAATGCATATAACTAAATAACTAATAAAACTTAAACTTACTGTTTTTTGTAATACATTAATCCATGGTTTTTCTGTTTTGTAAAGCAAACAAAAATAATGTGAATGAACTCGTATTCTCGAGACAACAACATAGGAAACACCAAACCTTTATTCGAACGAGCTACTATCTTAATTTTTTTGGAGCACGACAACTTGAGCAACTAGCCAACTATCTTGCCCAAACAATTTGACTGCAGCGCAAAAGATGGAAATACCAAAATTAATGAAATGATGCATGTGTACACAAAAGTTTTAAAAAAATGTTGAATATAACTTTTGCCAAGATAAACAAGTGGTTTTATTTAACATTTTGCATACTTTTTAACAACTATACTCAAAATACAGATCAGAACAACATGGTCAGATTGTACTGATTTAACTATTTTAGTGTGTGTATCTCTCAAAATCAATTTTGAATCGGACCGATGGTTTGAGATATAAAGCATTTTGAATTTTGATGAAATCTTTGATGGCATAGGTATTTTTGTATTTTTTTACATGCATGCATGTATATGATGAGGGAAGGTGGAAAGTGCCTTTGGTAGCGAAAAATGTCAAATGAAGACCGAGCTCCATGGAGGACTTAATTTGAAAGCCTCGAAATTCAAACTTTTCAGTTTTAAATAATTCTAAACAAAATACACGTATACATAGATACATAATGTACGTGTGTGTGTGTGTGTAGATTTTCAGGTCAAGAACACTAAAATGAGAGCTACGCAAAAAAGACAAATCTGGGGCCTTTTATCATGTGTACTATTCATTCTGAAAGTCCATGATTTTGTTTCTTTTTATGTAGCTCGTGATTCAAGGTATTTGATTCTGAAATTTTATAAACATACACATTACATCCTTGAATTTTAAAGTATCCATGTAGCTCGGTCTCCAAAATGCCCTACTCGATTGCAAAATGCATGCACTATGTTCTTGTATAGCACAGTCATATTGTATTTGGGATTGTACTAATTATAAGTATCTGAGTGTGTGTACCACGCAATTACTGTTCATTTTGTAGCTAGAACAAGCGCGCCGGCAGCACATGTCTCGCGCCGGGGAGCACACGGCTGCTCCCCTGGTCCTGCATCTCACCTCCGGTGTGACTTCCAGGTTGCGCCCCAACCGATTCCTGAATCCAGGTGCAGGGTAGGACTTTCAAGTTAACAGGTACAAGGATTCCTGAATCCAGGTGGCCTTGTAGGACTTTCAAATTAACAGGTACAGGTAGGACGCACCATTCTATCTACCTGTCGTTCAAAGTTTGCTACACACGATTCTTGTATCTATTGGTTTCCCAAGACGTTTCTTCGTCTCCACGTTGACGCATGCATTCTTAGTCTGGCCGCGGCTATAGCTACAAGCGTACGTACGTGGGATTGCTGACTCCATGTGCAATACGTACCTACCTACCGACCAGAAAAATCTTCTATAAATATAGCTATAGGCTCATGCACGGCCACAACCATCTAGCTCCCCATAGCCGCCTCCCGGGGCCTCGTAACCATGAAGCTCATGCCGACCGTCTTCTGCCTTCTCCTCGTCGTCCTTGAATTGGGTGGTAATGCACATCATAAACTCATTACTGCCTTGCTTTAGCTTTTAGATATTCCTTGCTAGCGCGATCTACAAGTATACATGTTAGTTCGACCACGTCATGTTCTTCATGCATGCACTAAGACATGATTGATCTACGTTACAGGGGCTCGTGTGGAGGCTCGAGGCACACCTTCGGCTGATCAGGGGTCAAAGAACCAATGGTCCAGCATGTTCGTCTTCGGCGATGGCTTCGTCGACAACGGCAACCTCCCAAAGACCGACACATGGCGTCAATGGAGCTATCCCTATGGCTCCTATCTCAACTCCCGTGGATCTGCGACTCCTGTTCCAACTGGACGCCTTTCCAACTATTGGATTCAATCTGACTTCATCGGTACGTAGCTAGATATATACTAGTATGCTAGATAGAAAAAATATTTTTGAGCACGTACAACCTTATATCTAAGACCATCCAAAATAATCCATCATATCAAGGCTCTAGATCATTTAGTTCTGACCCTTACAATCTTATATGTGTTGTACTAAAAATAATCCTTCATATTTATTGATTTATTTCCCTTGCAGCAAGGATCTTGGGCCTCAATGAAGCCCCTCCATCGTACAGGCTCACGCCACATCTATCTTGCGACCCATCTGGCATGACCTTTGCTTTCGGCGGTGCTGGCGTCTACGAGGTGCCGGACAAGAAGGTGCCGACCCTTGCCACACAGGTTAATGCTTTCACGAGGCTACTTAATACTGGGGTCATCTCAAAACAACAGCTTCAGAGCTCCGTCGCTCTCGTCTCCATCTCCGGCAGTGACTACATGACTGGTGCCAACGTCGACAATGCCTTCTTGAGTAGCTTCGATGATGTGAGTAGTAGTTAGCAGACTCAAACTTGCAAACACTAACCAGTATGCAATTACTATATACCCAGCTTCTTACCAAGTAACATCTCTTGCATGCAGATTGATAGTTATATTGGGAACGTGACGACTGAGATTGCGAAGAACGTGGGGAAGCTACAGAGGCTAGGTGTGAGAAAGGTACTAGTGAACAACATGCATCCCATTGGCTGCACGCCTTTGCGGACTAGTGCGAACAACTACACGACATGCGACCTTCTGGCAAACTATGCCGCAACTGTGCACAACAACAATATAGAACACCTGATGGGGAACAAGAATAATGCCCACATACTGGACCTCTACACTGCCTTCACTGACATCGTTAATCACGCCCCGGGTAAGTACTCGTACTTTATATGTCTGCACGCGCATGATGCAAATTAAGTCCGGTTTCACATGTATGCACTTTATTCAACGTCTGTTGGAACTGTGTGTATGCAGGTGAAGGGTCGGAGCAGTCAAACAATTTCAAGCGCAAGCTGACACCTTGCTGTGAGGCTTCCACCGAGCTGGGGTACTGTGGACAGGTTAGCCCTTCAGGGAAGCGCCTCTACGACCTATGCAAGAATCCTGAAAAGAATTTCTACTGGGATGAGACTTACCCGACGACCGCTGGGTGGGAAGCTGTTATAGAGGCACTAGAAGAACCTTTGAGGGAGTTCCTAGATCGGGACTATGTTCCATGATTTCTTTGTAATTTAGGTTTGGATCGATCCGTTGCTTGTTGGTGCAATATCTTTTTGTTAGGTTAGCATAGATAGAATTCATATTTAGGAAGAAACTTGTGAGTTTTTATTGCCTTGTATTCCATGAAATTTTGTCTAGTGACCTTAATGTTTTAATAAAGTTCGTCATACTATATATGTGGAATCTAGCATGGATCTATTTGAGGAGCACGGGGGAGTTGCAGCAAACGAGAAGGTGCTTGGATGATGGGTTCTATTTGAGTAAAGATTATATATGTAGCTCTGCATGTGCGATCTTTGGTCTCAAAGACTGCGGCTTAGTCGATTGAGGTAACGCTCCACACCTAGTGGTAGCACGGGTATGATCGGTGCCAAGCCAGCTATGTTTGACGTTGCAAAGACGAGAAAGAGGCACACTGGCAACCGCACCCCATACGTTCGTTCAGCCTTCTCGGCTGTTCCATCAGGTTCTGCCTTCACCATGTACACCCCGGCTCGCCAAGGCCGTGTTTATGCCGTTGTTCCCATACCTGTAATTAAAAGTGCACGGGTCGTGCCTGTGAGAACTTCCACTTAGCTCCCTGCCGCTGTTGGGGATGACCTTTGCATTAATCGGTATTTGTTTCAATTCAAATGGCAAAAACATTTCTGTAACAAGCTAGGCCATATGCCACATATTTTGTTAAGCATTTGATCGTGTAGCTGCAATGTGTAGATTTCAAGTATTGGAAGCAAGTTAAGGGGGGAGAGAGATGTCTTCGGGGAACAAGGAAATATTGATCAAGTCGGTGGCTCAAGCGAGTCCAACATGTTTTGAGCATATTCAGCACTAGTAGATGGTGAAGAAAGTACAAAGGAAGATGGCCTAGTTGAATTGGCGCAAAATGATGCTGCCTAAGTCAAAGGGTGGTATCTGTTTACATCGTGTGCGTGCATTCAACCAAGAACTTCTAGCAAAACAAGTTTGGCGATTGCTTGATGCTCCGACGGGCTTATGTGCCTGATTGCGATAGGGAAAATAGTACCCCAGTGGGAATTTGTTGGATATAGTGTTTACCGGCAATGTGTCCGCTGTGTGGATAGCGGTAGAAAACGGGCTGGCGCTAGTCAAGGAAGGGATAATTTTACAGAGTTGATGACGGTATTTCCATGAAGACTTGGATCCTCTGAGGACCATCCTTCCGCCCCAGCGTGCTGAAGAGAGATTGCAGACTACACCGTGTTGCTTATTTTTTTGACGTCAATGGTGCATGGAAGTCTCACTGTTTACAAGACCTCTTTTGACCCTTGGATGTGAGTCAAAATTTTAACATTCATGCCTCACACAGAAGACGCCAAGAATTTATTGACTACTAGGGAAAACCTTATGCACAGAGGATTATCAGTAGCGCTGGCTAAAACAAGGCGCTACTACTACCTAACAATAACGCGGGGAGAACAAGCCCGCTACTATTTATATAGTAGTAGTGCGGCCAAATAAAAAGCGCTACTACTATAACTGCCACACCGTTGAAGACAAGCTAGGTATAGTAGTAGTAGCGCCCGTCTACACACCGCGCTACTGCTAAGCAAATAGTAGTAGCGCGTTTTAAGGCGACAGCGCTGCAACTAAGAAAAGGAAAAGAAAAGAAAAAAGAAAAATAAAATTAAAGAAAATGGAAAAATGAAAGCAATAGCAGTAGCGCCTGTTTATGAAAGCGCCGTAGCAACCTTAGCTATTGCGTGTTTTCACTACACGCGCTATACTTAACTTAGCTAAACTAGTAGCGCGGTCCACCAAACAACACTATAGCTAAGTTGCTATAGCGCTGTTGCAGAAACTGCGTTGCCGTTATGTTTGACTCGCCCCTGCGCGGGCGTCCCTCCTTCCCCCAATTCTCCATTCTTCTCGCATCTCCTACCTCTCCCTCGCCGCCCCTGCTCCCTCGCCATCCTGCCTCCGTCGCCGTCATCGGAGCTGCGCGCCGTCGTCGCCACCGGAGCCGCGCGCCCTCGACGCCCCCGGAGCCACCCTCGCCGTCGAAGCTGCTGTAGACGCCACCGAAGCCACCCTCGACGCCCTCCATGCCACTGTCTCCCCCGAGCACCTCCCTGCCACCGTCTCCTCCGAGCACCCTCTCTGTAAGCCCCCACCCCTCCTCTCTAGGTTAATTTACTTAGGTGAATTTAGTTATGAACCCTAGGTTTAAGCATGAACCCTAGGTTTTGGTATGAACCCTAGATAGCTAGGTTTTGCTATAAACCCTAGGTAGCTATTTTCATATATATCAAAACCTAGGGTTCATGCTTAAACCTAGCTCCATGGAGGACTTAATTTGAAAGCCTCGAAATTCAAACTTTTCAGTTTTAAATAATTCTAAACAAAATACACGTATACATAGATACATAATGTACGTGTGTGTGTGGTAGATTTTCAGGTCAAAAACACTAAAATGAGAGCTACGCAAAAAAGACAAATCTGGGGCCTTTTATCATGTGTACTATTCATTCTGAAAGTCCATGATTTTGTTTCTTTTTATGTAGCTCGTGATTCAAGGTATTTGATTCTGAAATTTTATAAACATACACATTACATCCTTGAATTTTAAAGTATCCATGTAGCTCGGTCTCCAAAATGCCCTACTCGATTGCAAAATGCATGCACTATGTTCTTGTATAGCACAGTCATATTGTATTTGGGATTGTACTAATTATAAGTATCTGAGTGTGTGTACCACGCAATTACTGTTCATTTTGTAGCTAGAACAAGCGCGCCGGCAGCACATGTCTCGCGCCGGGGAGCACACGGCTGCTCCCCTGGTCCTGCATCTCACCTCCGGTGTGACTTCCAGGTTGCGCCCCAACCGATTCCTGAATCCAGGTGCAGGGTAGGACTTTCAAGTTAACAGGTACAAGGATTCCTGAATCCAGGTGGCCTTGTAGGACTTTCAAATTAACAGGTACAGGTAGGACGCACCATTCTATCTACCTGTCGTTCAAAGTTTGCTACACACGATTCTTGTATCTATTGGTTTCCCAAGACGTTTCTTCGTCTCCACGTTGACGCATGCATTCTTAGTCTGGCCGCGGCTATAGCTACAAGCGTACGTACGTGGGATTGCTGACTCCATGTGCAATACGTACCTACCTACCGACCAGAAAAATCTTCTATAAATATAGCTATAGGCTCATGCACGGCCACAACCATCTAGCTCCCCATAGCCGCCTCCCGGGGCCTCGTAACCATGAAGCTCATGCCGACCGTCTTCTGCCTTCTCCTCGTCGTCCTTGAATTGGGTGGTAATGCACATCATAAACTCATTACTGCCTTGCTTTAGCTTTTAGATATTCCTTGCTAGCGCGATCTACAAGTATACATGTTAGTTCGACCACGTCATGTTCTTCATGCATGCACTAAGACATGATTGATCTACGTTACA